CTCGCCCCACAGTCTGAGCCTCAAATCTGAAACCCTGAACTTCTAAGCCTAAACCCTCAGCCCTTGAACCCTAAACAGTAAACCTTGAACCTTAAACCCTAGATCCTAAACCCTGAACCGCATATTCGGGGCCGCGGAAGTTCAGCTGGGAATCCTCTCACGAAGAGGTCCAAGTGATAGCCCGGAGATTTCTTCAGATTGTTGGATGGCCTGTTCACCTCACGTTCAGGGTTTTGGGTTCAGGCGAAACCCTCCACCATCAACCCTAAAACCCTAAACCCTAAACCCTATGCTCTGGGGTTTAGGGCTTAACTAGGGCTTATGGGCAAGGAACTCGCAGTTTTGAAGCATGGACAGACATCGAAATAGGGTTGTGGAAGAGCTGGTTCATCGTGTCGGGATGTCATACAGAATCCTACATGAATCCTTTCGTGGGTTGCTTTTGTAAACTTAAGTTAGGTTACCATAAATTCAGTGTGTGTGCGTACATATATATATATACACCATATAGATCGTACATAATAGGGTTTGCTGATTACTGGAGTGACTTACCCAGTTACATCAAGCCCAAAGCATATCGAACATTAATGAAGCAAGATCCAGGTCACGATCAAGCTTGTCAGGTTTTCATCCAAGTATCCCAATACAGTGAAGCCAATGGCAGGCAGAATTGCATAAGCCACGCCCCAGGCAGGGAAAGTGCGATCGATGCCAGCGGGGTTGACGAACCAGCTACGTTTGCCTCCACCATCCTCTGCAACAACTTACTGTTGGTTTAGGGCTTGGGCGTTTAAGGTAACATACTGCTGCTTAGGAGGGACTCGAGCGACAATCATCCAGGGCTACCTTGGGACTACGATAAATAGAGATACAGGCCTCCAAGAGGCTGTGGGCTTCCGGGTGTAATTGGGGGAAGGGCTAAGGTAAACAAGATGTGGATAGAGGAAATTGCGCCGCGCAAGAACCCCTGTATTATATTGGGAACCTAATCCTAAACCTAATATTGTACTTCCTGGGGTACAAGATCTATAGGATGGGGCAAGCCTTTCTCCTTCCAAACTAGGGCATACCTAGTGTAACCTGGACCCTTCACGACGGACAAAATACAAAGCTATAGGCTGTAGGGTTTGGCGTTTAAGGGTTACTCTGGGTAGGTTTCAGGGTTCAGCATTTCGGGAGGCTTCGCGTCTAGAACCTGAAGCAAATGCAACCTCCGAAGCTCGATACGTACTTACTTGACTGGATCCTTTGCACAAAACTCGAACCCTAAAGCCGAACCCGAAACCTTGAGCCTGACACCATGAACCCCAAACTGAAAGCACCAAACTTTACTGTTTATCTGCAATACTCTAAACTCCCTAAACCCTGAATCACAACCCAAAAACGTTCAACCCTGAACCTCAGTCCCTACACGTCGGCATCGTCATCTATGATACTGCCCCTTAATTCTAACAAGCCTGACAACACAATGCGAGCTATAGTCTAACCTTCTATCATTCTCTTTAGTCCCCCCTATAACACTCCCCTATATAATCTCCTATATAACCTCCCTTCAAGGAGTTTAGACTGTAGCTCATGTAGTGTTAAGGCTTCTGGGTTTAGGGTTCAGGGTCTTTAGGGCTTAGGGTTCCAGAATGAGGATTTGGGGTTTTGGGCTTCGGGCTCTTAACGCTTCAGCTGAACCCTTTCACCCTGAACGCGAGACCTTCGGGACTTAGGATTCGGGGTTTGGGGTTTGGTGCTTGTAATTCGTCACGCAACCCGTCACCCTGAGCCCTAGACCCTCGCCCAAACCCTTTCATACTACCTGGGCTCCCGAAAATAGTAAAATAGCAGCTCCAAACACTAGAAACAGTAACAAAGTCAAAATTCTACCTACTTTTAGGGTCCAGGTGTCGCCTAACCAACTCACAACAAAAATGATCTCTTATAAACCCTAGACCGTAAACCCTAAACTGCACTCTGAAAATGAGTTAAGCAACCACGTACAGGGTGGGGGCGAAATCGTCATCTATCGGAAGCATCCGGATGTCCGTTTTAGCGTAGAGAGCCACGAACCTTCACGAACAGGCATACATAGGGCTTAGCGTTTAGGGTATGGGGTTCTACTACCCCTGTCTGGTATTAGATATTCCCTCTATGGTGTGCTGCAATATCCTGAGAGTATTTGATATTACGGAATGGGTATCTTATTATTAGGGGGAGGCAATTGTCAAGTGGCTCAGGGTTTCCAATTTTTTGGGGTCCCTTAAGGATCCGCATTATAGCGTTTATAATATATTGGGGTCTATGTTGGGGTCTTGAAAACTACCACTGCTAGACTGGACCTAGGCCTCTGGGACACTAACCCTGAACCCTAAACCATCCTAAACCCTTAAACCACGCCTCAAGCTAGACCTAGACTCCTATGATCAAAGGCTTCAGCCCCTACGGTTCTACCCCTGTGTTTGGGATCCTTTTAAGAGACCTTAGGGAACTACATTGGCTCATATATGGGGTATGTTAGGCTGTATTGGGGAAACCTTCTAGGGGTACAGCCTTATGGGTACAACCCCGGAAGCCTTATATAACCTAACCCTACTTAAGGCTGCCCACTTTTGTGTATAGAAGACACTAGACATAAAGTTTCCTTAGGTTGTAAATGCCTAAACCTTAAACCCTTACGCAATAAACCCTAAAGCCTGAAAGCTATGCATCCCAAAAAAAGGTAGGGTATAGTGGTCTAGGATGGTCTAGGTATCCCTAAACCCAAACTCACCCGGCTCCATAGGGTTGGGGGCTTCGGGTTTTTTGGGGTAGAGGACCCTAAGCCGCACGTACTGGTTGATGGTGGCGAATGAAGGGGTGGCCTACTATAGTAGCCCCTGGAGCCCCCGACAAAGTAAATAGTTTTCATGTTCTTTTCCATTCCTTCGTTCTCCGATGACAATCAACCCTATAAACCCCAACCCTTTAACCTTAAACCCAAACCCTTTCGCCTAAACACCCTAAACCCTAACCCCTAAACCCTAAACCCTAAGCCCTAAACCCTAAACCCTTAAACCCTAAACCCTAAACCCTAAGCCCTGTTCAAGCTCCCAGAAGCAAGGAGGCCGTGATTAGCGCGAGGGTCACAGAAAAGTTGGCGAGGAAGTTTCGGATGGGCCGGTTCCTAGGGCCGAAGGCGTAGGGTTTCCAAAGGGCCCAAACTGTGGGGGGTTTAGGATTTAGGGTTTAGGGTTTAGATTTAGGGTTCAGGCTAGCTGGGTCAAAAAATACCTAGTGTAGACTCTATTATGTTCGGGCTTGTACCCTAAACCCTACAGTTTGTGCAGCGTTTCAAGCCCAAGTCCTGGTTCAGGGTTTAGGGCCAACTGAATTGAATTTCGGGGAAACCCAATGAAGGTAGTTTGGGTGAGGTTTTGCGATTTGGGATTAGGGCGGTGGTTAAGAGAGCCCATAAAGAAGCCCAAGAAAACACAGAAGGCGGCTGCAACATAGCTTTGGAAACTTTGGACACCCTGAACCCCTAAACCTACCCCTAAACCCTAAACCCTAAACCCCAAACGGCCCTTTAGCCCCAGGAGTTTCTTCAGCTAAGGGATTTGAAGTGGTGCACGGTTTCTTCCATCAACAGTAAACGGCTCTGAACAAGTTTCCCTCTTAGCGGTAGGGTTTAGGGTTTAGGGCTCTACACCAGGGAGCCAAGCTGATTGGGGTTAGGATTTGGGGTCTTTACCTTGGAGAAACTCCAGGTTGTAGTACTGTATCCATAAATCCCACACCCTCAGCCCTGAATCCAAAACCCCCCACCCTAAACCCTCAACTCTAAACCCTAAACCCTGACCTCAAACCCTGAACCCTAAATCATCCGCCCCAAACCCTGAATTCTGAACCCAAAGCCTGCCTGAAACCCTTTTCGGCTTGCGCATTTCTAGGCTGACAAGCGCACGTCTCATGAGCTAAGTCTTACGTATACTTAAAGGGGGGATAGGGGAGGGGTTGCAGGTCATAGGTTCTGTTATAAGGACGTTCAGGGTTTAGGGTTTTGCGGTTCTTGAACCCTAAACACTACAACCCTAAACCTCAAATTAAACTAAACCCAATGCCTGACATCCCTTAACCCTAAACCCCAAACCCTAAACACTAGAAGCCATGTGAGCAAGAGTCTAAACTTCTGATATCCGCTTAATAAGCCCTCTTATAGTCCCCTATATAAGCCCCTATATAAACCCTAAGTCCTAAACCCTAAATCCTAAATCCTACATCCTAAACCCTAAGTCCTAAACCCTAGATCCTAAACCCCAAATCCTAAGCCCTAAACCCTAAATCCTAATTCCTAAGTCCTAAACGCTAAATCCTAAACACTAAACCCTTTATAATCTCCCTTCAAGGAGTTTAGACTCTTGCTCATTTCCCCGCAAAACAAAAAAAGACGAGACTCAGCCAGGGAGTGCGACGGAAGTGTGACAAGAACGTAGCAAGGCCTTGGACGGAAGTTTAGGGTTTAGGGTTTAGGGGTGTTATACCGTTGATGGATGAAATCTTGCACCACCTAGGGGCCTAAACTATTGTAACTCCTAGGACTTTAGGGACTTAAGGTGGTGCAAGATTCCCTCCATCAACAGTATTTGGTTAATGGAAAAGAAAATGGAAACTACTATTTGAAAGGGTTATATAAGGGTATTGGAATGGAGAAGAAAATGGAAACTATTCTTTCATGGGGTTAGGGAAGTTTACCCGAAGGGTCCATGTACCCAATAATCGGGTACTTAGGGTTTTGGTAATAGTAATTATACTACAGTCTTGGGTAAGTATATGATTATTAGGTACTTGGACCCTTAGGGTTGGGAGTTTAGGGTTTGGGGTTTGGGGTTTAGGGTTCGGGGTTTATGGCTGTGGGCTTCAGGTTCGGGATTTAGGGTTGTGGGTTTGGGGTAAAGCCAAGGGGTTTAAGGTTTGTTGTTTAGGGTTTCGGGTCGAAATGCCTGAATAGGATGCGCAGTTTGCGCCTGAATTGGTTCCTATGTAGTTGCTTTGAAGCTACATTACCATCTGCTTGGATATTTGGAGCCTCAAGATAGGAGAAGCAAACAAAGGTCTAAGGAATTGTGGGAGGTTCCCAGATTAATACGGATCCCGTTATCATCCCCTCAAGTACAGCATTTCTCATCAATTTACATGAGAACACCTACTTCTTGGAACTCATACAGATACATACCCATGCATAGCAACAAAT